CCATCAAATATCAAGCTAGTTCTTGCTTTGCTTGACTTTTCCTTAGTGAATCTGATATAGGTTAAATGGTTGGATAAAGATACGTTGGATAAAGATAAGCCAGAGTCCTAACCTCAAGTACCTCACAAGGTGACCTTATATGAAAATAGGGTCTTTACAGAGGTAACCGCGTTAAACTGAGGTCATACAATGGGCCCTACCTCAATAGGACCACTGCCCTTAAAAACCAAGGTGATTAGGAGCCAGACACACACAGGAAAGAGGATGTAAAGACACAAGAGAAGCCAGCCACCTACAGCCCAGGATAGCAGCGTGGGACAGCCTCCCTCACAGTTCCCGAAAGAAACCAACTCTTCATACACACTGATTCAGACTTCTGGCCTCCCAAATTGTAAGACACTAAATTTCTCTCATTTGAGGTCTATTTTGGTTTTGTTTCGGTTTTGGTTTCTTTGTGTTTGGTACCAGAAGTCAAACTCAGGACCTTGCACTTGCCAGGCAGGCACTGTGCCACTGAGCTAGAGCCCCAGCCCAAACTTTCTCTCATTTAAGCTGCTCAGTTTTAGGTACTTTGCTACTGTAAAGCCCAGCAACTATTACAGAGGACTTTTTAGTTTCAAGTCTTCCCAAACCATCTCTGCCCTCACCCAGATGAGAACTTTGCCAGGAATTAATGTCACATTTATTAGGCTGTAACTTCTACAATCTGTCTCTTCCCCTTTCCAAAAGTGAAATGGAAATTTTTCCCATCCTTGAAGCTCTGTTTTGCAGACAGTTTCTCAAAAGGAACAAGGAGTAACAGTTACACCTAATACTTCTACAGTGACTACTCCATGTCAACTACTTACACAGATGGTCCTATGGTTTCTGTCGGTCACCGGAAGAGCAGGTAATATCCTATCACCATCCACTGGCATGCAGCATCCACTGCAGATAAGAAAACTAACACAGCATCGCCACTTTCCAGGTGGAGAAACAGACAAGCAAGGGATAGTAAACCCGCTGAGTTGCCATCCCCCTCACTTTCCCACCACATCCTCTCCTGTTGCCAAGGGCCATGATGCCATGGCTGTGGTTCCAGGGCCACATCTACAGGGTGCTCTTGGGTCCCCAAGATGCTACTCCTCTGGATCTAAAGAGTCAAAATTCTTTGATGGTGAAGAATGCCTTGATGTGTTCTTACTACTGGCTTTCCTGACCTCCACACTTAATTTCTTAATGATGTTTGTGGTTCATTGCTAGTTGCTCCAGTCTCCTTAGTTAAAAGGGTGAAAGCCAAGTAGTGATCAAATAACTACTTTTTTCTTCACTATCATTTAATTGTTTATTATCCGTGTCTCTCCCCCAAACCACGGTCCATCTCTTTTTCCCCCCCTTGGCATATAAATGCTTTGAAAACTCCTGTCTTCAAGCTTCCTCATAAGCCATTGCCCTCTGTGCCCTCCGGCTTTCCTGATCCAACTCTGTTTGTGCTCTTCTATGAACTCCCAGCCATCATCATTTAAACTGTATGTTGGACTCATCTGAGGTCAGAACACTTTGTTTCTAAGATGCATTCTCCCTCTCCTTTCTCTGCAGTAATTACCACCTTTTACACCAGAACTTTATTTTTCAAGGTTTTCTCACTTTACCCACCTTTCATTCTATGCCTTTTGCTTTAATTTGGCTTGGTTCCAAGTTTGGCACTATTGGGAAAGAGTGGAATCTTCAACAGGTAGAGGCCAGCATAGGTCTTAGATGACTGGAGACATGCCCTTCCAGAGGACTGGGGGACCATGGGCTGTTCCTCTTTCACTTTCATCCTGGCCATGAGATGGCTTTGTTCTGCTACACACTCCTGCCATGATGCACTGACCTGCCATGGGCCCAAAAGCAATGGACCCACCCAAGCATGGGCTGACATTACATAACCAAAATAGACCTCCAAAACTGTGAGCCAAAATAAACCTTTTCTCTACAACAGTTGATTTATTGATGGCATTTTATTACAGTAATGGAAAGCTAGCACACCTTCTTTTGTTTACTTATTAAAGGCCAATTTTACCAAAGGCAAACTGCAAGCCAAGGAATGTACTAGGAGGAGTAAAATGCTATGTGGCTCCTATCCACAGAGAGCTCTCAGACCTAGGGTTGCTTGAACAAACACGGTCCTGCCCTCCTCTCCTACACTGCTGATACATTTTCTAAAGCCTGGGTGTGGTATGACCTGCAGTTCTTGACTTCACTCTCAGAGATTTCAAATACCAGAGATCACGTGTTCCAAAATGCTCACAACTCCTACCACCTCGCCACCCAATTCTTCTTTTCCAAATTCGGACCAAAGCAGTGGAACTATGAATAAAAGCAAAGCAAGGAATCAAGTGGACCTTTTCTCTCCCACTTTAGGAGATAGTGCCAAAGTGCCGGCAGGTTGTAAAGCTTCCAGACAAGCAGTACACAGTTATCACTGCAGTGGAGCAAATTCCACATCCCCTTCATCTCATCCTCATTCAAATGCTCACTGTTACCTTTTACCCTAAGTCTCTCCTTTCCATACATGGGTCCCCTCACTAGACATGAGTCTTTTCAGAACACAAACCTTCCCACTGCCACCATCTAAGTCCCGGCCCACACCTGTCCCACAGCAGTGACCCCTTCTGCCCTTCCTCACTTTCTTTGGCGTCTACACATTGGTACAGTCGGGCGATCCTACATATTCCCCCATGGCTGTCTTGGGAGCAATATTTGATCCTCCTTCCCTCAGGTACCTCCTTTACGTGACCACCTGTTTTCTCCTGCTACAGAGTTAATTTTTAAATCCTGGGAGGCAATCTTCCTGACCTACCAGGATACCTCAGACAGAAGACTGCTGTACCCCATTCAGAATAAAGATATTTTTAACGTCAGCCAACACATGCTTACTCAGTGTCTGTTACAAACTCACCATATATAGAGAAAAAAACAATATGCTTTTCTTTCAACATCTGCCAAACTGCCCTTATACAGGATGCCGCTTGGGCTGCAAGCCCCATGAACAGATCATTTGTATCTGCAGACACAGCTCAGCGCCCCAGGTGCTCAGAACACGAGAGACACGCGAACAAACCCGATTCCCGCCTCCCAGCCCACCCGGCTGACATTACATAACCAGTTCTCAAAAAGGGCCACAGAGGCAACCCCTCTACACAGGATTTTCCTTCTTTAGCAGCCCCAGAGGAAGAGCTGTGCTAATATGATGTTTCTATTCCCAGCAGGAATAACCCTTAATTATTATGTGCCTGAAGCATCTCAAAAGTTTTAAATAGAAATTCACGTAACATTAAGAAAATTGGAGAGCTACGTCACTGGCAACAGAAAAGATGTTACCCAGAGAAAGAGAGACAGAGTGGGAAGAGATGGGGGCAGCATGGATTCTTTATGAGTTGCTTAGGAAGTCCTGGAAATGGGGAAGGAAAGGCATGTGATTATCAAAAATCAAAATCCCATGAGAAAATAAAATTCTTCCATGAAAGAAATACAGACCTTTCATTCATCACAGATTTACTCACTGGTCCCTGATGAAGTTTCATGAAAGCAAGTGATTAGACCTATTGCCAGGGGCTCAATATACAGGATATGCAGGTGAACACATATATAGTCAAACATCACTGGATCTGCTCCTATGACTCTGGAAGCAGAGTTACAACAAGGTGATTTTATCAACTCCTTTTGTACATGGCATTCTTCTTCTCCTCCTCGGCCCAGGTGCGTGACAGGAACCAGTCATGTAGCTATCAATTTCAATATTTCCCCTACACAGAAGAGGTGCTGAGAAGTGGTCCAAGCATGGCCAGCTCCAGTTGGGATGGTCACTCGGATCCTTGTGGAAAAGAGGGTCTCACTGAGCTGCGTGCCTTGGCTGGGATGCAAGAGTAAGACTGGCTGGGTTGCTCATGTGGCCAGCAGGGTTCACCACGTCCTGACCAAGCTAGCGGAGGAGTGTGCTCTACAAAAGGGTGTTTTCTAAGCATTGTCTGTAGCAGGTGACATTTAATGACAGTTAGGACCAGCCCTTCCCACAAGAATGGAATCTGCTTATAGGAAAGACTTATTCATAAAAACCAATTATAGAGAGTTATTCTGGGGGTGTTTCTATGGCCCACAACTAACTGTTTATGTATCTTATCCAACTTCTATTGACTAAATGAAGATGGGGGAGCTCACACTGTTGTTATCAGAACAGGACCGGAATATTCATGATATGAACAAAGAGGGCATTTGATTGAGACAAGGTGGGTCACATCTGTTGTATAATAAAGAATTTGACTGGCCTTGGTCCGTAGTTCCTGGGAAGGGTACTCTAAATACTTGGAATTTCCCAAGTAACTGGAGTTTTCTCTGTTACTCATAAGCCCCTGGATACAACTGAGTATCTGCTTTCCAAAAGAAAGGGGATACAAAGGTGGATGGAGGCGGGAAGGAAAAAGGGAATTGAGATGTGCTATGTACAGGTACCCACTCCGCACAAAGAATGTAAACGTCATGTGCTACAAACACATACTAACAAATACAAAAGAAAAGATGAATCAGGGTAGGGGTTGGCTGCTTCAGAAAGACCAACCGTGTAATCAGGTTGGGGTGTTGAGTGGGCGATATTAACTGACCTCTTCTAGGGAGGGAAGGGGTGCTAGAGACTGAACGATCACATGGCCAGTGAATGGATAGTCACGCCCATATAGTGAATCCCCCAATAAGCACTCTGCACCAGAGCTTGGTGGAGACTCCTGGTTGATGAATACACCAATGTGCCCGGTGCCCAGGAATCTCCAGGACTTTGCCCTAGGTGTCTCTTCATTCAGCTACTCCATTTATATCGTTTATGATGAAATTATAACCTTAAGTACAGCGCTTTCCTGGGTCCTGTGACTCATCCAAGCTAATTTCATATCTGAGAGGACTGGAGGAACTGTCACATTTGCAGCCAGTTGGTCAGAAGTGTGGGTGAGCTGAGAATTCCAGGACTTTCGGTTGGCAATCTGAGGTGGGTGCAGCCTTATTGCAGGCTGCATCCCTAACTTGTGAGGCCAGGCTCACTCCGGGTGGTTGACATCAGCATCGCACTGCGGCATTGCGACACCCACTCTCAACACCTTAAATGCTTGCCAGGAACAGTCCCTTTCAGAAGCAAGTCTCTCAAAGCTGACCTGACCTCCCCTGGTCCTCCCACCCGCTCCAGCTCCAGGCTGAGAACCAACATGGTCCAATAAGCAGAAAATCACCTTGAGTGGGTAGACAGACACAACTACAGTACAACACAAGCTTTTTGATGAGGGATGTAATTTTTTTTTTGAGGTAAAAACTACAATGAATGCACAAAGAGTCAAACAGTGGACAGAAATTCAGAGCATTTTCACAAAGGTAGTCAGAGACTTACAGCTCAAAGTAATACCTAGGCAGGAAGGCACATAACATGGACGGCAAATGGTCAAATCACTGTACTTAACGAATGATGAAACTCATTTCCAACTTTTATTAAATATTCTGTGCCTGAAACTCTGCTGAACTTATTTAATTATTCTAATGAATCCTTAATCCTCTGAGGTCAAGTTTATTCTAACACCCATTCTACAGGCAAGGATTCCGACATTATCAAATTTGGTGAGTTTGCTTTGGAGCTTGCAGCCCACTGTGGCAGCGCAGGAGGAGGGTAAACAGAAGCAGGTAGAGAAGATTGTGGACGGTCCTGGATGTTTGTCAGAAACTTAACTTGTTTTGTTTTTCTGTAGGCCATGAGCAGCCATCAAATGGGAATGAAATCCTGTTCTGAAAGAGAATGATGATGGCAGTCTGTGAAAAAGAGAAAGACCGATCAGGGAAACAACGGTAAGATCCCTGGTCACACAGAAGAAAGCCTGAGCTAGGGAAAGGGCAGAGGAACGGATACATGGGGCTCGGACCAAGGAGAGGGAGGTAAGGAAGATGACACGGGGCAGCAAGCAGAGGAGGCGGGGTGGACGGTGGGAGAGAGGCCAGGGGAGAAGGATGCAGATCACACAACTGAACGGACGTCTGCACATGTGTGCAAAGGGCACGCCCTTCTGGGTGACACATGCACCGACTGTCATTGCTCTGTGCAAGTTCACAGAGTTCATGCTCTTGATCCATTCGTGGATAATGAAATGCTATTTAAAGACCCTATTCGATACCAGCAGGCAGCTGATTCGCTCCCTCCCCACCCCAGATCTGCAGCCCTGGGCCAAGCACAGCCATCTTACCCCTCCAAGCTCTCCTGCTTGGCTTTGCACTTGCTTTCAATGGGTAATGAGCATCAGGGGAGCTAATCAAGGATTTTTGTCTAAATGTCTCTTTAGACTGCTGAGCTGAGGTAGAAGTAGAGCAGACCACCAGTCCAGTTATTGATCGATGTGAATCAGGAATGCACATCGAGAGAGTCATCTGCTAGCTCCTCCTAGCAGGCACTGGGAATGAATCCAGAGAGGGGCAGCGGAGTAAAGAGAAGCTAAACGCAAAGCCACTCCCTCCAGGACCCCACTAGGAAAATGCAAAGCTCGCTCTACATAAAATGAATGCTGGGTTCCTCTATACGATCAATAATAGCCATTCAGACCTGGCCCTTTAAGAAGTGGCTTCTTTCATGGCTGTATGGGCCCCATCTAAGTTCCGCGAGAGAGGCCTGCAGAACCATCTGATTCGTTCACAGGACTTTGCTGAATTCCAACAGCAACGCTGAGCACAGAGGAATCGATAGTAAACCCTTTCGCTTGTCTCTGAAATGTGCTGGTTTTTCTGCTCATAAATATTCTCCAAATGTTAAAAGCTGCCCAAGGGCTGCCCAGTGTGCTTATACAGTAGAGCAGAAACAGAAAGAAAGAGCAAAGAAACTCAACTCCTGCTGCCTCCAGCGACCCTCAGAGGCTCGCCGTGCTACAGCACAGGGTACCAGGCGTGGCCGCGCCTGGGTCTCTCCCTGACGTTCCCAGAACCCAAGCTCAAACACTCATCAGAAAGCGTTTAAAGAAGATCTACCGAAATGTACTCTTACGCTGGTCCTTGACACATAATCAATACACCTTTAAGCGCACACATCTATATCTTGGGTTAACCTTGCATTTCGCTGTGAATCAGGGGATATCTGCTCAGCTTCACCCCGAAATCTTTCCTAATCTGACATCATCCCACAATAAATGCATCATCATAAAAGGACGGAAACTGCGCATCACAGGTGCCTTTTGGAAACATGTTCAAACGGGCCAGAGCTCACTGCAAGATTTGTGAATATGGTCCTCTACCATGATTCCAAGATGTTAAAATGCCTTTGGCATTGTCGATGGTGTGATATGGTAACTGAGAACCAGAGCATTTTGCATGTATCCCACACCATTCTTTTTTTTTTTTTTTTTGGTTTTTCTCCAGTACCGGCAACCGAACTCACGACCTTGCGCTTGCCAGGCAGGCGCTTTGCCAGTGAGCTAAATCCCCAGACCCCCACACCATTCAGACCACAGTGTACCCTTTCTTTCTCACTCACCCAGTTATGACAGGGAGGAAGTCATCCTTTCCCGTCAAGTACTATATCAAGGAGCAAAGGTCTCATTTTTTCTGTGAGGTATGCAACTTAAAAGTCAGGCTCCCTGGACGTGGTGGTACATGCCTGTAATTCCAGCACTCAGAAGGCTGAGGCAGGAGGATCACCATGAGTTCAAGATCAGCCTGAATTACATATTGAGTCACTGTCTCAAAAAAAAAAAAAAAAGGTAAAACATCTTCTAATGGATGCTAACTAGAATCTACATGCCACAAAATTCTCCCATAGAATTATCACTGTTAACTAGGTGACATTTTCTTCTATCTTTAGGGAGAAATATAAGACAGTTTCCCATTTATTATAATAAATAGGGGGTTGGGCTGACACTTAGGTTCCTAATAGGTGTCACTTGAATACTAAGACTTACAAACAATTTCCCCACTTAACCTCTATTTGTTAGGATGGAAAGTATTTGTTAGGATGAAAATTTTTTTCCCATTTTACACAATATAATGAAACCCAAAAAACATCGACAAGGGATGCTTTCAGAAAGATGTTGTACTTTGAAAGTGAGCCCCTAAGTGCCAATAGGAAATTCTGACACGTTTGTTCTGGGTTGGAATTCGTGAGTCTGTCCCATCAATAGGGATATTTTATCCCTGGGTCCCATGCATGGGGAAACCTGGTTACCAAACCCCCGTGCAGGCTCCTCAAAACCCGACCGCACCCAGTTCTCTCAGCTCACCCAAGTGTCAGGAACTCGCCTGGCCTCGCCCTGAACTGGGATTAAATGCAGAGGCCACACTCTGAGACACTGGCATAGCCGGAAATCACTGAGGTGGTTAATGTTAATTGAGCACTTTCTCAGCGCCAGAGTCTGGGGACAAGCGGGTGAGCATATGCATCCCTCCGAGGAGACACAGATAGGGAGGCACAAGGTCCCCTCACGCTGTGCCAGCGGCTGGAGCGGGACTGCTGTCGTCAGAAGCGTGGGAAAGCAAGGGTTCTGGAGGCTGCCAGTGTCTTTCACGGCTCTGTGCTGCAGGCAATTCTCAATGCTTTCTGGTCTCCAGGACACAACAACTAAGGAACCAAGCCAGATGCCACGGTGCACGCCTGTAATCCCAGCTACTCAGGAGGCTCAGGCAAGAGCATCATGAGACTGAAGCCAGCCGGGACAACTTAGGGAGATGCTGTCTTCAGAAAACAAAATTTAAAGAAAGGAATGGGAACAGCGCACAGTGGTACAGTACTTATCTAGCTAGCATGTACATGGCAGTGGTTTCAATCCCCAGTACCACACACACA